TAAGATGCTATATCATAAATATAAATATATACATAAATATTCACGGATTGTTAGGGAGGTGAAAATGCATCTGATAATAGCAGCAGTGCAAGAATGTTGCTGTCTTCAAGAACTGGGAGATACCGTAGGTCACCAGTCACTGAATCAGAAACTGGAAATCATGAACTGGGGGAGATAAGTTAAAGCCAGTTTCCCAGCCTGAACAGGAAGCCTTCATAGTTCTACCTGGTGCATGGAGTCACTTAAAAACAGATGAACCCTTAGCTGCCAGAGAATGTTCTTGTGTGTGTGTTTGATGGCAGATTATGGCTATGGGTTCTTCGTTCTAGCCCATCTGATCTTTCCATTAATAAGGTGGAATCATGTTAATCCACTAGGGTAAGAGGCAAAGGCAGTCTTTACTACTTCCTGGATTCTTAAGTGTTTCTCATCAGAGAATAGGTATTGTCTGCATTGTGACCTTGAGACACAAACCTTTCATGGAAGTTTTCAGGTACTATCTAGGGAGGGTGTTTTTTGTTTTGCAAGCACATTGAACTAAGCTATGCTGTCATGTCTGTTCTGGGTTGTGGATGGTCATATTTGAATTTAGGCTGGGAGGGTATGTTCCTGAACATAGGCTCTGTGAAGTCAGCTGCTGAACTTAGGAGCTAGAAAAGCAAAATAGCTTTTGATTCCCTTGTGCTTTAAAGGAAAGTGAAATTTTCTAAATTTTTAGAAGGGGGGCGGATTTTGGAAATGACACATATTTTTTGTGACAGTTCTGTTGTTTCTGACACCCACAATTCTTGGGCATTTCCGAAGTCTTCTACAGGAACACTTCCTCTGATTTCGGTTTATTTTTAAACTGAAACTCCCCCGTTGTTATATTTGCTGCTTGCTATCCTCCACTGTCTTCTCGCCTCCACGGGAAAGATGTCAAGTTTTCCTTTTCTGAACTTCTTGAAAATGGGTTTTAGTCTTATATTTAGGGATGCAGTCCTTTTCTTTCCAGAGCTGGGAGACTGGAAGTACCTTAATGATGGAAATTCCAAACTCATCAACCAAACCCATTCTTAGGCATAGTTTTCACAAGCAGTAGCTTATCAACATATCAGAAATTTGATAGTAGAAGGCAATGTGTTTTGTCTGTGGGCATGAGGGCTCCTACTAACATGGAGCTCTCATGCTTGCAACAGCTTATACTGTATTCTACATCTGGGGTCCTCAGCATGGTACCCATGAGTACTGAAAAACCCACAGACAAATTTCTTGGTGCCTGCCAAGCCTCCTCCTAATGCTATTTAGATGTCAGCATTTTGGAAGGCTTTTTTTGGTAAAGATTTGCCTGGTTTTGGAACGGGGGACGGGGTTTGCTTGCTGTTTAGTCTGTCTTATTTGTTTTCAGACATGTTTTGGTGTTTTACCGTTACAGGGGACACCACCAGTTTTTCTTATGTGAAATTGGTATTTTGTGGCGCCCATGACAGTTACTTGGATTTTCAGATGTGCACCCAGGGCTATACCAGTAGAGGGTAGCTTCTTCTGTACCTGTAAGGAGATCTTGCATTGGCGAGACTGATCACAATTCAGAATTCTCCTGTACCTACATGTGTGGTCTTCCTTTACCTTTACGAGTCTTGAGTGGCTTGCAATGAGTAGGGAGAAGCATCTAAGTTGCTGCTGCTGCTTTGAGCACATCTGGGACACTTGTAACTCCAAGGAGTAATTCCCTGTTTGGAGAAGTCTGGGTGGGGCTTGCCTCTAAGGAGCCAGGAGAGGAAAGGGGAATTTATTGAATTTCTGGGTAGGCTCTGCTGGGAACTCTGTCATAGAAGTCACATACATTGCACTAGCATATTCAGTAATGAGATTAATGTGTTACCCAGAATTGCTTTATGAAAAGGGGTATCATCACCCTTCTCATTTCCACACAAATTGTGAACAGTCAACTCGTGTTCTTGAAGCTTTTTGCTTATTTTCATGTCTTTATGCTTTTCAGTTACATCCATTAGGACTAGAAACATGTTTTGATTTATTAAAACCAAGGACTGTGGGAATCAGATTGTATAAACAGAATGCTTGAAGACAGGTCCCAAAGCAGTGCCTGGTTACTCTTGGAGCCATGGCTGACAACAAGCATTTGCTTCATTCATATGGCAGTTCTCCTTTAAGTGTATCAATTGATACTTTTTTGTTGTTTTAGGGGTCTTGAAACAGCACATTTACATCAGGTTCACAATAGTTCCTCTGCCTCTGTGTGCAAATGCAGTTTCTCCTCTAGCTACCTGGAACAACATGAAGTCCCTCCAGGAAGCACAGCCAAGTCTGTTGTCTCTCTTTTGTTTTGATCTTTAATGCTGTTAATTTTTTTTTATATAAGTGCTTGAAGAATGTGATTATTTAAAGGACTGACAATTGCCAGTATCACTGCTTTGAATTATCACGGTTGCTAGAAAAAGGCTACAGGAATTGCCTGCAGTGTGCATGTTGTTTTCTTCCTCTTAAAAATAACAATCACAAACCCAATGTTGTTCTACAGTGGTGTAATAAGTGAGAAATAGGAAAAGGTTTGGTGAACAGAAAACGTCTGAGTTAGTGAAGTAATCTGCATCTCCTGAACCTGGCTGAACTGTGTGCTCCCAAGAAACAGATTCTAAGGGATGTGTAAATATTCCAGTATATATCTGGAGAAAGCCTCATGTTTCCTAAAGCTTGCATTCCTATTAAGTTTGCACAGTCCTTTTTGTTTGGCGGCTCTTTTTCTTGGTGATACACTCTTTAACAAAAAGTCCAGTGCCTCGATACATTTGGGCTGGATGTTTGGCCCATCTTCAATTGCGACTGCGGTTTCAGAATAGCATAATACTCTGGGGATGTTTGGAGACCAAATGACTACCGCTTTAAATTTCTGGGCCTCTCACACACCCAAATGTATATGGGTCTCAAGAGGGAAAATTTAGTGGAGCGTATCTGGGTCTATTTGGTTTGTTGTATTGAGATCATCAATCAGGATTGATGGCTCCAGTAGGCGGAGACATGCTGGGGGCAAATGGATGGCTTGTTTTCTAGAAGGTAGATTGGGGAGGGGGGGAGGATGGGTGAATGAACCAGATGGAAATCCCTTTCTTCTTGAATACTTTTATCTATAACCTGAACTTTCTTTCTCTCTCCCTCTCCATCCCCCCTCCCTTCCCTGCCCCACATTTCTAATTTAAAAACAAAACAAAAATGTTCTGTTCTTAAAATTTGTTTCAAGCCTGGCTTTAAAAACATTTTAGTGGCATCTGAAACAGCTGCACGTGCCGAATTGAAGACAAAAACAGAGCGAGAGTACAGAATGCATGGGTTAAAAAAAAATCCCCATCATTGCCAACTGAAATGAACATTTGAGTTAATGGCGTCTGACTCAGTAGGAACCACCATTAATTGTTTAATGCATGCAGCCATTTACAATAAAGAGAGATTTGTGCACAGCATTCCAACTTGATGTGTTATGTCTTCAGAGGGAGGGGGTTGTTGGGTGTGATTGTTTTTTTTAAAAAGAAGTTTAGTTATGAATTAAAAGATTTATATGTGGAGATTTGTATGGTCCTTGTGCTTGTATTTCCTAGGGTGCCATATTCAACTTAACTAAACCATACTCGGTTGGGGTAATCTCTTGTTTACGTATTCCATTAATGTATTTTATTTATTAAGTACTGCATAATAGACCATGAGGCTAAATGCCTCTAAGCCCCCCTTCACACCACCTTGGAAGTCTAATGGTGCTCAACAGTGAGTTGTAGAATAATATTTACACACAGTTTACTAAAAGTAACGGAGAGGCTACAGAGAAGTGTGTGAATGATCGATGCCATTGGTTTTTATTCCATGGGTTATTCAACAGTCTGTGTTTCTTGGGTAGAATAAAAAGTGCCCTGATTTCCTTTATGCTGTGCATATTACAACTGGCCTCTTAATCCTGTTTCAATTCTTTTAAAGTTGGCACAGGGGCTCCAGTTTTCTAGGAGAAGTTATCCTGTTGTGTGGGTTAGGGCTCCACTCTCCCTAAAAATGTGTTCAACCAGCAACTGGAAACTCAAATAAGGACCAGATTCAGAGTTGTTGCTTGCCTTCCATTACAAGGGGTTGTTCATATTTGGGTATTACAAAAATATTTTGTTTAGAGTCCCATCACCAGCCTGTCATTCATTCCTGGTCTCTTGAATTGGTCCTTGTCCTCCAGTTGAGGAAGTTGGTGCTCCACATTTCCAAGTCTGAAAAGGTGAGGGCCATAGCTGAATACTTCCAAGGCTTCCCCAATTGAAGCCTTTCCCCAGGAAACTGAGCATGGTGATGAAATGAGAGGCAAGTTACAGGTTTGGAGCTTAACAGCATTTGTTGGATGTTAAGAGGATAACAGTACATTATATCTATGCTATTTCCTTTAGGCTTCCTACCTTTTGCTGAATTCATGACTAGTATGGTGCGTTGATACTGTTGTTAGTTAGAATTTGATCATTGAGAATTGCTGCACAAACTTTCTGCAGAAGTTCTCATTTAAAAAATTGAGTACACAGATTAGAAAAGGAAGTAGAGCGGGGGACAAGGGATTTGACCAAGGTCAGCCAACAAATCTGTGACAAAGTCAGGCATAATATCCAAATAGTATATACTTTTCTGTCTGTATCCTCCCTTTCACTTCACCAGTGGAGGAAGATCAAAGTGCAGAGATTGTAGTCTTCAATTTTCAGTCCTTTTGGCATTGGTGCTTTTGGTGTTATTCTGATTTGCATGAAAAGTGCAGAATCTACATGTTAACAATGGACTAAAGGGAAATATTCCTGTCCTCTCCTGTTTATAATAAATACCTGCTGTGCACGTGCACACACATATTGTGTGAAGGAGTTGGCTAAGCCACTTATTCTTCATCGTTCTTTATTACATATTTTTCCTTGTCTGATAGCTATTAATTTTTAATTTCCACCATTATGATTTACTTTTCTCATTTTACTGTGGGATGGAGAAATCACATTCTTCTTCGCCCCCCTCCCTTTCTCCTGTCTTCCTTTTGTTTTCTTCTTTTTGTTCAACAAAAAATTGAAGAGGAGTAAAAGGGGGGGGGTGAAGACCCAACAAGATAATGCAGTTATTTCCAGTTCAAAGCTAAGCAGGTCCTGTATGAGCCTTGTCTAATTCATTATAGATTACTGCTTTAGAATTAGAAAGCTGTGTTATAAATCATGATGTCATTTCCAGCTAATCAAATTCAGGCAAAGAGCTTTCAAATTCCCGTGAGAGCTGATCCATCGCAAGCAGCTGTGTCTTCTGCATCCAAGCCTGGAAGGGAGGTGCAGTTAGCCTTGTAACCTGAAGAAAGGTCTCCCTTGCAGCCTGCCTTATTTTTCACAGAAGGGCAACAGAAAAATAAGAGGAACTAATAACAATAATGTTAAAAACCTTGTAACTTGAGAGGAAGCAGAAGGCACAATACCTTGAAGGTATAAATCCCTTAAAAGTGGTTCTCGCTTGTCAGTGATTCACCGCAGGGGGTACCATGTCTCTTGCAATGGAATATTAACCCCACCAACCCACCCCCAAAAGATAAAGGGAATTAAGGAAAAGAACAAAGTGTTTTCCTCTTAAAGAAAGAATGGCCGGTTCAACCTGATAGGAGATGGTGTTTTAAAGGGGGTATTTTGTTATGTGCTAGAACAGACACCCCCCCCCCCGACAGAAAAAAGGGGAAACGCTAACAATATAATTCAGAATGTACCAGTAGGGTCGTGTAGAATTTGTTGGAGCGCTGAATTACATCTCTGATGTACAATTAAAGAAAAGGAGGAAACAGAATAGAAAATGGGTCTGTTGAGGTGGCCAATTGTAAGATGTTCTTTGCAATAAACATGCAGATTATAAAAGATCTCTCTCTTTCTTTGTAGAGTATTTGTTACCTTGAAAACATGAAAAATATTTTACAAAGTATTCTCTTTCTCTGGACGACAATTATCTATTTGTTCCTTTTGTACAGCATTCTTCCGCTCATGTGTTTCACAAATTGTATGATTAAAAAATAAAATAAGATAAAATGGATGTCTCCAAGGAATTTATTATTTAAATTAAGGTGATGCAATGTAGAGGAAACAAGATGGCAGGTTTAAGCTTGGTGGAGAGAAGATGGCAAACAGCATGAATAATAATGCTGAGCTCTCCCTGTAGAATTAGAGCGTTGCTGGTTGATGTAATAAAAACATTGGGTTGTCTGATTTAAAGTGGCTCTGTATGTCTAATTCCCTGAAAAAAACATTGGAATGGCTGACTTGGTTTTCAGCACTGAAAGGGTTGGCTTATTGTGTTTCCAAAAGGCAGAAAATAGAAAATAACTGGCTACCTTATCTTTTAAAACGGTTTGCATGGACAGTTGTCCTTTTTCTGTGCTGTTTGCATGGCTTATTTTCCTCCCCATCCCTTGCTAATTAAGGGGAGGAGAGACAACATTATTAAACATCACTGCTATTGTTGCGCTGTTTCCACAGCTGAGTATTGCGACTCCTGCCAGTATAAGCTTGTTTGCTCTCTCTCGCTCTTTCTGCCCCCACCTTTACAGGCTGTGTTGCTCTATGCTTCTTTAGCAGAGCAAATTCAGCACAGCTCTATGGCAGATGTTGGTTGTGTTTTCAGAGTGCTGCAGTGGCTAGTGTTTCCAACAGACAAATGACCTGTGCCCGTTGAGCATTCTCTTTCATCATTGAGTTGTCTTGGGATCTCCCCTACCCCCTTTGAGTTTTTTTGGGGGGCGGGGGGAGGTCCTTAAGGATTTATTGTACATATGCACACTTCAGGGTTCCCCCAAGTCTACTGATGCTTTCCTCTCACTTGTGGCCATTTTGGTGAAATCTACCACCCATCTGTGTATCTCATCGGACCACCTCAGACTAGCGTCACTCAGCCTAACCTTCCTCACAGAGTGGTTGTGAGGCTAATGTGGAGAGGACAGACATATACACTTTGAGCTCTTGGGTGGTAAAACAGTATACAAATACAATTAATTACAAAAAAACCAATAACTATTTATTTGCTGCTATAACTGCGCCAGTTATTTTGGATGCTTGGCCCTTACTAAGATGATTGTGTAAGTGAGTATCAGGAGGATGTGAAGCTGCGTCTAAAATACAATGTGTGTGAGGACTATTCCAGTCCACACTTCTTGAAATCTGAGAGAGAGAAAACCTTGTGTACTAGACAGTGTTTTTTCTTGTCAAGGCAGGACAAAATCCCAAGTACTCCCAAGTCCACTCTTCCAAGAATTTCAGTGTGTACTTTTAAAAAGTCTTATTCAGGCAAGGCTCCTAAAAATGTTAACCTGTCACTTCAGTATTTGAAAAAATTTCTGGCTCCATGTAGGAATTTGATACTCCCTCCTGCAAACTCTTTTGTGGAGCTGCTGTTTAAGTAAAATATTTGCACCTTTAGTTCCCCTCCCTCAAGGACATTAAGCAAGCTCATGGTCCTGATTTATTGCCTTCCATGGCTCCAAATGCTGAATGGACCTCAGTGACCAAATCACCTCTCTGTCTTTTGGCCTTAGTTTTGTCTTACAAGGCTCAAATTACAGTTCATTTCCTTTGCCCCCTTCTTTTTCTTGGCCTTTGACTGCCTCTGACATTTAGATCCAGGAAACATTAGGGCAGAGGTTTTCAACCTTTTTGAGTCCACGGCTCCCTTGACCAACTGCATTCTTTGTATGGCACCCCTGTGGGGCTCAGGAGCCCAGTTAAGTCACCCCTTGCCTGCAGAGCAGGCAGCCTCTCACCCTTTTTTGAACACCCTCCCTTGTGGAATGTTCCCTCAGCCTCCTCTCCTCTCCCCTCTCCTTGGAAGTCCCTTGGGCAGCCGCTGCCTCTGGTCTCTGAGCTGCCCCCCCTACCCCAAAGAGAGGTGCTTTCCCACACTGTCCCACAAGCACCTGGGAAGAGGATGCCCCCAGCCTTAGTGGCCCAACTGAGACTGATGAAAGGTGAACGTGAGAGCAGCACCTTACCTTGGGAGACAGCAGTGGCAGCAGCTGGCGCTGCCGGGCCAGCATGGCGGAAAGGCTCCCCTTCAGCACCAGGCACTCTGCTCCCAAGCAGGCCTTGCAAACTGCAAGCACAAGAAAGGCCAGTGCAGCACCTGCCTGGCCTCCCACTTGTTTGTCCATTCCCAACAAGAAGTGCTGGCGGTCTGACTGGCTGGGCTCCCTCGCCCACTTGCTTGCTTACTCCGAGGCCACCTCAGCTCCTGGCAACCAGCACCCCCTGGCCAACTCCAGAGGCACCATTCGCCTGCAGAGCTTGTAACCGGGGCTGCTGCAACTAACACCTGTGTAAGCCTTTGGGAGGCAGAGAAGTGAGAGTGCATCAGAGGCAGGAGGGAAGGAAGGAAAGAGGAACAGAGACCGCTGTTGCCTACGGCAGCAGCCCTGACCATCCTTCAAGGCACCCCAGGGCGACATGTCACCCTGGTTGAAAACCACTGCATTAGGGCCTATCTTCTCTCGTATTAGCCATGCAGCACCCTAAGATCTGGGGAAGACGTGTTTCTTTGTGTCCCACATATGAAGGTGGCTTGGCTTATGGAGTCTAGGGAAAGGACCTTCTATGTGGCTGTGTCTAAATTGTGCTTGGTCTCTTCCCTTATGGTGTGTTACTGTATGACTTTTGTCTTCAATCCACTGCACACTTTTTATTTTTATTGTTGGTTACCCTCAGTGATGAATCCGCACTAGAAGGGCACAATATAATTTTTTTAATACTTCTAAAGCTGAGCTGAGTATTCTTACTTGGACTTCTCAGAGAGTTGGGGAGGTGGCTGCAGGGAGAGAAGGGGCAAAATTGGCTCCCCGGCTTACATTTGTTTATTGCTGCCACTTGTTTTTTTAGCCCTGGCAGTGATTGCAACAATTGGGGTCTCTACAGTGAATATTCACCATGCTTCCTTTCCTAGGATTTCTTAATGTGAGGTAGGAAGCCTCACCTTTTACTCAGATTGACTTCATGAAGATTCAAGTGGCATTGCCACTGGCAGTAAGTTTCCCTCTGCGTTCACTTCTTTTTGCAGCCTCTTCCCAAATTTGCTGAAATTCTACCCCCAAATATTTGCACTATAATACAAGGGCAGCAAAAACGAAGAAGGTGTTTTGGCTCTGCTTGATGATAATATTCCTCTAAAGGCCTGCTCCATTTCACTAACTGCCATGAAGCATTTACTCCACAATGAGCCTTCTCACAGCTTAAGAAAGGGATGAGGAACCTGTGGACCTCCAGATGTTGTTGGACCACAGCTCCCATCATCCCCTGGATGCTGGTTGGGGAATGTGCATGCTGCATGAGAATTAGATTCCAATAACAGCTGGAGAGCAACAAGTTCCCCATCTATGCCCTGATATGAGTACATATCCCTTTTTTGCTGTGGAAAGTGTTATATAAGTTAGTAAATAAACACAATGTCTTTCCTTCAACAACCATCCTTATTTGAGACCTCCCTGACTTGTACTCTTTTCTCCACTGGGCTCCTCCCTCCCAATCACCATCCTCTTCATCTCCTTAAGCATGACAGGCACCTGGCCTTTGTTAGTCTCTTGCCTGCAGCCAAGGTTCATTTCTAGGATATTCTAACAGTTCTGTTGTCATTTGTTTATTCAGTTATCTGATGATTAAACAAATAGACTTAATATACAAAGCCCACTGATAGTATATTATTGAGTGTTATTCTGTCATTAGTGAGAACTTAATTTTTTTTTTTGTAGGGAAAAAAGATTTATTGTCCTAATTGCAGTTCATTATCTCCATGCTGATGAGGTAAAGGTTTAAGATTGTCCCAGGAGATGGTGGCTGATAACAAAAATCACCCGCATGTTATTTTGAAGTCTGTGGCTTCTCTCCTGGGTCTATCCTATTTAATGAACTTACGTAAGCCATACTCTGTCTGTCCCTCTCTCTCTCTCTCTCTCTCTCTTTCTTTCTCTTTCTCCGTTCTGTCTGTCTGTCTATCTATCTATCATCTATCTATCTATCTATCTATCTATCTCTGTATCTCTCTGGGTGAACAAACTACTGTTCTTAAAGCAACATAATTGCTGGGTTGTATCA